CCTGCCTTCACCCTGAGTCAGCTGGGATAGACTCCAGCCCCCCATGACCCTGGTGAGGATTAAGGTGTAGAGATGATGGATGGATGGACATTGTTTACTGTTTTTTCTCAGGGTATCATGTAAATAAAACTTTTTTCTGTGATTTTACCAGATGTTTTCTGTAATTTACCAAAACAAGTAAAAGCTGTAAAATAACAGTAAATTAAAAAAAAAAAACAAAAACGAGTTAAAAGCTTCAATTTCTTACAGTGTAAAGCAGCAAAACACAATTTGTTCTATAGATAAAGTGCATTATTTTCATCTCATATGAGGTGAAGTATAGTTTAGTTTAGTTTACTTTAATGCATATATAATATACAAGCATTATTGAGAATTCAAGTACAATACTCAAGAAAAGAGAAAGAAAAAGATCTGATATAAACATAATAATGCACATACACACATATGTCAACTTATATTTAGTCTGAGAAGGAACAGAATGAAGCAAAAGCTTATCTGGTTCTGTCCCTTCTAGTATAAGTATTAAATATTAAGTATAAGTAGAAAGTTGCAAAAAAAAAAAAAAATGCTGTACTATTTAAACAACTGCAAAATTTCAGCCATTCCAGCTTTGAACCCCTGAATCCTCGGCCTCTTTGGAGCTCTGCTAGTTGTCTGCGTTTACGAACGCTGCACATTGTCATTCCACACATGACCCCTGCAGACAGCGTCGTAGCTGTGATCAGGTTACTGTCGGTCTTGAGCCGTTGTTTCAGCACATGCCTCTGCTTCCTTTCCCACTGGAAACAGTCCAAGCGTGCGTCGGCTCTGATCGGCCTGCAGGTTCTGATCCAGTAAGTGGCTCCCACAGTGGTGACGATCTGAGGCCCCTCACCAAATTACCCCGTGTCAGAGGTCCTTCATTCGGGCCAGGAGCTTTATGAATGAGCAGAGGAGGTAATCACTGCCAGCAACACGTTTCTGTTTGTCTTGGAGCTCGGAGCGGCGAGGGTTTCCCAGACCCTTTGGGAAATTACTTCCAAATGTTGAGAGATATCAAAAACTCTGCTGCACTGCTAATCTACTCGCGCCGACTCATTATTCAATCAATGTGCGCTGCAGAGTTTTGCACTAATTTTCTGGCACACTCAGGAGGCCTTTTCAGCGGCTGGAGTCGAACTGGCACTTTTTTTTTTTTTTTTTTTTTAGATAAGTGAGCAAATTTGAAGAGCATGAGAGGATTTGTGGTCCAACTGCCGCAGTCATTCATTCATGACAGGGACAAATACTCCCTCACATTAGCTTCCTCTTCTCTTCACTCTTGTCTTAGCTGTAGCAGCTCTGGCCCTGAGAAATGTTTGTCCGGCACTGACGCTCCAATCTGCAATTATTTAACCCAATATTATGCCTGCAGTTTTCCATCTTGAGACTTGAGAATCAGCTTTTCCCTGCTGAGCTGTAATCTGTCAGCGTTTTGACAGAGAGCATGAGAACTATTTACATTCACCGAGGTTGTCCAATAACAGTAAACGCTTTCAATCTCACATTTCACAGTGGTTATCCCAGAGGTGCAAGCGCTCTTAGGTTGGTGCTTTTGTTAGCATTTCTTGTTAATTAAGCAGCGTTTGATCCAGCGATCCAGCAGGTTTCGAGATTTAAGGGGTACTAGTAATAACGTGTCTACCTCCTGACTGTAACTAGGAAACAGGATTTTCTGTCTTGATGGAAAATAAGTTATTGATTGTATATAAAGACGGATGAACCCTACATTATGCCACCCATAGCTTTCCTGAACACCAGTTTCGAAGCCCAGTGTGTTGGCGTCAGCTGTTGCCATCTTGGCGGCAACTGACTCCTTCAAATTCCCAGCTAATGCAAAACCAGCCAAAGATGTGGAACTGGAGCGGGGCTGAGGTCGGCCATGCAAATCCTATGAAGACATTCAACCGTCACTCAGAGCAGCCACGCCCTTAACTGTGCGTACCTTTAAGTCTCAATACAATTCAAAAAGCTT